AGCCTTTCTAGATCACTCTCTACAAGGGCCAGCACTTCACAGGGCGGACCCTGGAGGTCCTTGGGGCCTGCGACAACTTCCAGGACCGAGGCTTCATGAACCCGGGAAACTCCATCCGCTTGGAGAGCCGAGCCTGGGTCTGCTTCGCCCACCCCGACTTCCAGGGCCAGCAGTTTGTCCTGGAGCGCGGGGACTACCCGGATTTCCTCCGCTGGAGTGGCCACACGACCACCTGGGCTCCTGCCGGCCGGTGGGGATGGTGAGTGGGCCACTCCACCCCGGGGCATGGCCCGACCTGGGGCAGTAATGAGGGCGCATGGCCCTGTCAGCTTTAAGAGCTGAGGAGGCCGTGGGCTCTTCAAGGCAGAGAGATGTCCCACACAGACCCAGCCTCTCCCGTGTGCGTGAGATGCGTGGGGACCCAGTGGGACAGCCCCTGGACCTTTTTATACCTGTATTTTCAAGCGTGTTTCAGGAAAACACTTCCAATTTCTGACCCCAAAATCTTGCTTGAATTTTCCACTTAAATTGCTGCTGGAAATACTAGAAATTTGGCTTTGCCACCAGGTGGGGGAGCTCTGAGCTATAAAGTGAGGCTGCGGTGGGCCTGGTGTGTCCATCAGGCAAATCCCGTTGTGAACAGCATTTTCCAGGACCCTTGGGTGCTGGGTGGTGGGAAAGAGGGTGGGGGTGCTCCATCCCTGGCCAGTAAGCGGGAACTTGGGGGCAGGAGCCTACAGGTGGCTGTGGTCGCACAGTGTGGCCCGGTGTGTGCAGGGAGCAAATGAGGATCGTCACTCCCCGTGACGAAGGACTGCGTGTGTCTAGTTGTCCCCACCGTGGGATTTGGGGACTGGGTGCTCCTGTTCTTTAGGATTCTCCCAAATCCCAGTTCTCAAATGTACTCCTGGGAGTTTCCCGGTGGCCCTGTGGGAAATGGCTGATTCCTGAGACCAGAGTGAGCAGCCTGCGGGGCCGGGGGTGCTGGTGAACCCAGGGAAGGGGCCTCCTGTGTGGAGTTCCCCCCTCTTTTTAAAAATATGTTTTTATTGATTATAGAGAGAGAGGAAGGAAGAGGGAGAGATAGAAACATCCATCGGCTGCCTCCTGCACGCCCCCTACTGGGTGGGGATGGAACCCGCAACCCAGGCCTGTGCCCCGACTGGGAAGTGAACGGGTGACCTCTTAGTTCACGGACCCACGCTCAGCCACTGAGCCACACCAGCCGGGCTCCCTCTCTTTTCTACACAGTTGCAAAACCAGCTGGGCTCTGGCAGCTGACCCTGTAAGGAGGCTTTTCAGTATCAGCACCAGGCCATGGGGTGGGGGAGAAGGAGTTCACACGGTTGGCCCTGGAGCTCCGGTGATGCTATTTGTATGCGAAACATCTTAGGTATCTTTCCAACGATCTTCTCCTGAGAGCTGTCCTGGGGCAGCTGTGCCGCAGACCCGACCCTGCCAATCAGGAGCTGGCCCGCCTCTGTCCCTCAGAACCGGGTACCCTTAGAAGGGACCCGGCAGGCATCTCGGCAGAGGAGAGCCCTGTGTTTGCTTTACACTCCTGGCTTCACGTTTTAACCAAAGGTTCTACGGCGGCGCCTCGGTTCTCGAATGTGATCCGTTCCGGGAGACGGTTCGAGCTCTGAAACGCTGGAAAACCGAGGGATCCGCAGCCCACAGCTGGGCCTCAGGGCCTTGCCCTGAGCGGGAGCCGCGGGGCGTGTTCGACTCCCGAGGCGAGTTCCAGAACCGAAGCATTTCCTCCCGGGGTTTACGGCGTTGGTAACCCGAAATGTTCCTCCACGGAGACGTTGGAAAACCGAGGTACCACTGTATTATAGTTTGTAAAATGTTGTCGTTTGAAGGCTTGCTAGAGGCCTATGGCCCAGGGCGGGGGTGAGGGACAGAGGAATGTGTCGGTGTGGCTGAGGCAGGAGTCCCCCAGCCTGAGCACCAGGAGGAACCAGTGCCCCTGGCCATGGTCACAGTCCCCTAGGGGGTCTGGCCCCTCTCCACCTCTGGCTGTAGGCAGAGGAGACAGGACTGGTTCAGGGGCTCTGTGGCTTTTTAAAGGAACAGACCCCTTTCCTCCAACCAAATCTCATGCGCAAGAACAAGGGAAGTGCTGGGTTGCCTGGTCAGTGTGGCTCAGTGGTTGAGCGTCAACTTATGAACCAGGAGGTCAGGGTTCGATTCCCGGTCAGGGCACAGCCCGGGTTGCAGCTGGAGCCCCAGCAGGGGGCGCTCAGGAGGCAGCCGGTCAGTGACTCTCTCACTGATGTTTCTCTCTCTCTCCCCTTCCTCTCCCTGAAATCAATAAAGATATTTTTTTTAAAAAAAAGCGACCACTGGATCTGGGTTCTGACTGGACCTTGGACACGCTGCTCTGTGCCTCAGTTTCCCCAGCTGTACAGTGGAGATAACAGCAGCACTCCCTCCTAGGGGATTAAATGAGAGCTGTGGCTAAAGGCAGCCCTCCCACTGGCCAGGGAGCTCCTCCGGCGGTAGCCAGGGGAGGAGCCAGGCTCCCGGCCCTGCGGAGCATTCCAGAGGTTTCCCTGAACTTGTCCTCCAGCGCCCAGGGCTGAGCAGAGCGGCACCTCATTAAGCCCTGATTTAATGCTCCACCGATAGGTTTGTGCTCCCATGACCTCCCTGTCACCCCAGCCCCCGGCTCCCTAATCTGTCAGCAAATCTGCTTTTGTCTGAAAGAAGGCAAACAAGATTCCCACCAGAATGCTTGTGGGCAGCCTGTAATTTGTCTGAAGTCTGTCCAGGGGGTCGGAGACCCAGGGCCAGGCCCTCCGAGGAGTCACATGCTCCACATATTTGTCTGCGCTCTGTGGTTTGGGAAGCTGGGCTCTCACAGAGCCGGGTCCTCAGCCCCCGGTTCCCCTGCCCGCTGGGCATCTGCTGACCAAGGCCCCCGTGTGTGATTTTATCAGGCCCAGCCTGACCACAGGAAAAACATCCCCCTGGTACCCCCAGAGGTTCCCTGGGCAGCAGAGGGCTGGCCCAGAAATGTTCTGCTCCCCTCCCCCCACTCCAGGTGAGCCCAGCTGGCCCCCTGCTCCCCAGGGGGCTCCCCACATTTTCTTCTGGAGGCCTCCTGTCTCCACTTTCACTCCACCAGGTGAAAGCTCTTGGAAGTCCGACATATCTTTGTTGCCCTGAAGGAACCACATGGATTTTCAGTGAAAACCTGATGAATGAGAGAGTTTTAAAAATTTTGCTCTAGAGTTTCACTTTGGAAAGATGAGAAACTTCTGGGAGTGACAGTTGGACAACAGTGTGAATGGCCCAGATGGCAAATCTATGTTCTGCGTGCCTGGCCGGTGTGGCTCAGTGGTTGAGCGTCAACCCATGAACCAGGAGGTCACCGGTTCAATTCCCAGTCGGGTTGTGGGCTCCATCCCCAGTAGGGGGCGTGCAGGAGGCAGCTGATAGATTACCTGCGCCTCCCCTTACCTGAAGAACCTGTCACCTTTTTACTGACCTCATTTGGTTCCCCATCGAATGCCATGAGGTGACAACTGAGGAAATTGCAAGTGCACAGGGTGACATCCTTCTGCAGGGTGGCTCAGGGAGCTGGGGTAAGGACCTGGCTGAACCCCAGTTTCCTGAGCCCCACACCCTGCTCAGCCACACAGATGTCTGGGGGCAGCCTGGTGACACGGGAAGGAGTGACCACATCGCAGGTGTGAGGCCTGGACCTGTAAGACCAGCATCTTTGTAAACAGGCTGTGGCCTCCCTGCTGCCCTAGAGAAGCCCCAGTTAGGAATCAGTGATTGAAAACACCCCGCAGAGTCCAGCTAACACGGCTTCTTGGTGTGAGCTCTGCCTGGGAGGGGCCAGGCCGCCGGCTGTGTGTCCCTGGAGGGGTTTCTCTGGAACTGAGACCAGCCCCTGACTCAGCATGTGGGGGTGCAGGCTGAGCGGTCAGAGGTGACACCCCTGCTCCTGGTCCTTAGGTGCCCAGGACCCCCAGGACTGAACACCCTTGGGGGGAGCAGGAGTGGGGAGCCATCGACCATTCGGGAGGGTCCATATTCAACCGGAGAGGGATCGGCGATTGCGTAGGACTGCTCAGGTTGGTGGATCAGAGTTAGGACAGTGAGCGGGAAGGCCGAACAACACCCTCTGCACGCACGCTGCCTGGCCCCCAGCACCCGCAGTTGGGGCTGAGATGGTTGTCTCCTGGGTCCCTCTCCCACAGAAGATAGGGGAGGCTGCCCCTGGGTTTCAGACACTGGGAGCAGGGAAGATGCGTTCATTTCACAACTGGGCCCAGGCTACCCTGGCCCCCGGGAGTCCTGAACCATAACGGGAATGGGCCGCCACCCGCCATGTGGCGCTGCTGCGGGGGAATCCTTTCCTGAGGAGTCTCCAGAGATGGCAGCAGCCCTCCACGCAGAGAGGGGGCGCTCAAGTGCCACTTTATGCCTCATGGAGGGGCTGGATGCCAAGGCCAGGGAGGGTATCCTTCTTACTCAAAAAACAAGGTAGAGCCCTGGCCTGTGTGGCTCAGTTGGTTGAGCGGCGTCCCAGGCACCGTAAAGTTCACCTGTTCAATCCCTGGTCAGGGCCCACACACAGGAGGCAACTGATTGATGTTTCTCTCTCTCCCCCCCGCCCTTCCTCTCTCTGGAAAAAGAGAAACAGAAAAAGAACAGGATAGAGAAGGTATGTGAAGAAATCTTTGAAAAAGGTAAAAGAAAAAACAGTGAAGCCGGGGTAAGGTTAGTATCCCCAATATTATACGCAGCACCAAGGCCTGGATCTTTGCTAGCATGGGACCCCTAGCAGGGAAACAGAGTCGGTTCCATGATGCAGAGCCCACAAGATAAAACGAAACCAGTTTCCCTAGAGGAGCACTGCAATTCCTGGGACTCGGGCCAGAGAAATTCTCCTTTGCGCCCTCAGGACCCCTGCTGAATTTCACGAGCTGCGTCCTCAACGGATCCCTCCCGCGGAGAAAGTCACGGGCTTCCTGGGAATTTTGTTAATAACATCCCGTAGGGCCAGGCTGATGGCCTTACGCCAAGGTAAACTTTCTGTGGAGAAGATTGAACATCCCTTGTTTACAGAGGAACATTTAGCTAATTCTAAGCAAAGCTAATTGGGCTGTCAAAGCAGGACCTGGCCATAGTTGGTCGTCAGTAAATACAAACAGCAACAGCAACACAGCCGTCTACTGAACAGTCACTGTGCCCCAAACACGGTGTTAAACCACTTTTACAGACGATGGGGGGGGGGGTGTTACTCCCTCTCTTTGACAGTTGAAGAAATAGACTTAAAAGGTTATT